TAAACCAGAAGGGCATTGTAAGCACCTTCCAAAGTTTTAAAACTGGCAGAGACATCTCACTGCCTGGACAGTCACCCACAGTTCTTCTGTGATGTTGGGGCTTCCGTCCTCAGCCTAAATGCCCAAAGTATCTAGCAGACTTTTCCATGAAGCAGGAAATTTGGAAGGCTGTTTTGCCTATCTTGGCAGTTTGTCAGTCACTCTCTTCTGTATCCTGCAGAATGTCTGGCAGTTTCTTCTGTGAAGCCGGAACCCTGAAGGACCATCCTGTCTTTTGGAAAGTTCAGCAGTCACTTTTCTGTGTGTCCTGCATGTGCAGTTCATATTGCATATCATCAAGAAGTCCAGGAAAGAGCAGGTTTTTTTGCCCAGATGACTAGCCTTGTCACATTGAAGGCAAATTCCATAACAGGTTTTTTTCAATGCCCGTCAATGCCCAAACTCTGAAGTAATAAGTGCTGCCAGAAGCAGACATGTCTCACTGTTGAGAAAAGTCTAAGTTCTTACAACATTTTAAGTGCCATATTCTGTAGGTCTTCGAAGTGTTGAAGATGATCTATCTAACTGAAATATATCTCTATATATCTAGAAAACCTAACTAATATGACTACAATTTGACTATTAGGACTACCTATTCATCTGCAATTTTTAATTATACATTACATTTTTAAATGAGCTGTCTAAACAGTAACAGAAATACATTTAACAAAATTACCCTTAAATTTGTATCAATAGACCAAGATTCATATCAATGTAAAGTATTCATCTCTATAATCTCTATAGCATATCTCTCTTTAAAAAGAGAGAGAGAGAGACTGAGACCGACTGTAACCATTAACGATTTATACCCAACCCCTTTTAAATGAAAACAAACATTTATGAACAATCATTTTTGGAATTTGGGCATCATTTTGTTCAAACTGCTTCCTGATTTTTGTTGGGGTAAGTATTTTTAGGGGTTTGTGGAGACACTTGGGGGGTGGTCTTGTCCTATCAAACCACATTAGTCTGGAAGGAATCTACAGGTTCCCATCCTCTGTGGAAACAAAAGCAGAATTTCTTTTCCAAAGTAACATACCCTTAGACTCAAATTTTGAAATCAAGATACCCTTAAAATATATATGTTGGTTTAGCTTAGCAGCTCCCAAAATCAAATGTCTCCCTGCAGTCAAAAAATTCAAAGAAAACACAACAATATACATAATCCAGTCTCTCTGTGTATTTTCCATCTTTACATGGCTTATTTTTCTTTACTCCTTTAATCTATGACTGTCTGTACTCTTTTATATTACTTTTACTGTCTCATTAAAAACTTTATTTCTTTTTATAACTGTCTGTATTCTTCTTTCTCTCTCTCCCAAGCCTATGTACATTTTAAAACACACTGTATCTCATTTAGAGGTCTTTTATGTCTGAATGTGTCCTGTTGTGTATCTGAAATCCTTTTCTGACAAGGAGCATTTTAAAATGGTAAGCAGTGTGGTTGCAGAGCCCTGAATACTGGTTCCACCTCTCTTGGCCTTTCAGTATGGCAGGGGTACATTACTGCCAGCTCTGGGACTGCTAGGTGGAAGCTGTGCTCACCACCTCAACTCTGGGAAGCACTGAGTAGCACATAAACCCTTTCTATCTGAGTAAAAGCTAAATCTGCCATGCAGCACTGTGTGGCCTGGAAATGTCTCTGTGTATGGCAGTGGGAATCCACCATGCTCTCCTGCCTGTGCACACCCAGCAGACCCAATCCAGCTGCTCTCCTGACTGTGCACACCCAGCAGAACCGATCCAGCTGCTTTCCCAGACAGGGTGCTGAGCAGCATGCATGCTCTCAGCTACTTTGCTCCTAACCCCACGCAAACAAGCACCTGGACCCAAAGTGTGTGGCTGGCAATGCACGTTAGCCCCAAACCTATGGGCACCATTTTGTAGCTGGAGACTGCTCAGCCTGAATAAACAGACAGAAACAATTATTAATTGCAACACTGTTTGGCCTCTTCTTGGCTCAGGCTTCTTATTAACTAACTCTAACATTTTAACCCATTTCTATTAATCTATGTATTGCTACAAGGCTGTGGCCTACCAGTAAGGTTCTATTGGCGGCGTCTTGGCATCTTTCTCATTTGGCAGCTACATGGCATCTCCTTGATCCTGCCTACTCTCTCTATATATCTCTGTTCGGATTTCCTGCCTACCTCTGCTCTGCTAAGCCATTGGCCAGAACAGCTTTATTCATTAACCAACAGTAATAAAACATATTCACAGAGGGAAATCCCACATCGGGTTGTGTCATGGATGTATCGGTTCGGCTCAGGCACCCCACATCAATTGTTCTTTGCACTTGACCAGTTGTAGGTTTCTGCAGTGGTCTCCATCTGCTTCCGAAGGAAGCTGCTTTGATGAGTGGAGAGCCACACTTAGCTGTGGGTGTAAGTGTCAGAATACAGTTAGGGATGGTGCTCAGTTGGAAGAGTGACAGCAGTGGGTTCTCTGAGATCCGTGCTGCCTCTGACCAGGAGTAGTTGCTTGGTTTCCAGTCCCAGGCATGATTTTCCACCTGTTGATCAGACCTAATATCCAACAAGACAGCCGTTTGTTACTGCCAAAATATAAGCGCCACTATTGCACCGTTAGGGCTAGCGTGCCCTGCTGGCCTTTGTGGCCCAGGAGTGTCCCCTTGGCAGCTTTCCTAGCACCATCAGGTAACAGAAGCTAGTCCTCAGGAGGAGGCCTCAGGCCAGGTCCAGTTTGAACCCTCTGAATTCTGTGGGCCAAATATACTGTTGCCTTCAGCAATAAGGACATGCCTTCAACTCCTGGGAGACAGCCCAGGGCAACAGTCATAACCTGTGTTGTCTGGGGAGCCTTTTGGACTCCCCTGACCAAAGCTCTCGAAAGGAGGTTTCCCAAACCTGGTACTGGGGTTTGTTAAATAGTCTACAGCTCTCAGAAAGAGCATTATCATAAGTAGCTTCCCTTCATGTATGAGTGTGTGTGTGTGTGTGTGTGTCTGTGTGTGTGTACTTATGCTTCGTCTTAGTGACTAATCTACTGCTGTGAAGAGACATGACCAGGGCAACTCTTAGGAAAGAAAGCGTTTAACTGGGTGATTTCTTAGTTTCAGAGGTTAGTTTATTATTAATCACGGCAGGAAGCAGACAGTAATAGCACTGGAGCGGTAGCTGAGAACTTTACATGCTGAACCAAAGCAGGGAGGGGGCTGAGACAGAGACTAGGAAACCTCAAAGCCTACCCCCCAGTGACACACGTCCTCAAGGTCACACCTACTCCACCACCACACCTCCTATCCTTCCTGAACAGTTTGTCCTGAACTAGGGACAAATGTATGAGCCTGTGGCAACTCTCCTCATTCAAGTATTAGGACCCATGGGTCCCAACATAGAAAACTATTTTCCCTAACTGGACTGGTGCGGAGGCACAAGGAATAACCAGACACAGCTTACAGGGAAGGGCATCGCAGGCTCCTCTCCCTACCTGCATTTATTATATCAAAAAATCTCTTAATCCCCCCCTCCCCGCCCCCGTTCAACAGAGGTGGATACCTCATTACCTCATTAATATTCTCTTTCCAGAATGAGCAGCTAGGGACAGCACCTACAACCTACAATTAAGTCATCAGCTTCTGCAAACACCTCTCCCCAGGCCATCTACATTTATAACAAAAGGGAAGGAGTAGCAAGCACATCCTGGCTGTTGTTGAGGGCAGTGACAGGCGTCTGCAGGTCTACATGACCACCTCAGGTGGGCCTATGGCTTCAGAGCCTGGCTGCCACACCAATATAGAAATATTGGCCTACATTCAAGCAACCATAGGCTTGCATATATGTACTGTATATAAAGTAACATTCCCGATGGCTATTTCAAACATCCCCAGTGTTGTCTACCCCACCCCCACCCCAGTTAATACCTCACTTTTCCGGTCTCACGTTATCCTGCTATTCTGGTCTCTAGCGCTCCTCCACCCCAAAGGTTCATTTTCACCTCCCAGCTTCTGCAGTTGTTCCAGGCTGTGTACTCCTGTGTGAAGGTTTAGGGCCAGAAACCACAGATGAGAGAGAACGTGCCGCATGTGTCATTCCAGATCTAGGCTGCCTCATTCAGTAATACTGTCGCGTTCCACCCATTTACCTGCGAATTTCGTGATTTCATTTTCTTTACAGTTGAATAGGATTCTGTTTGTGTGTGTGTAAAGTCTCATTATCCATTTAGGTTTCTGCATCTTAGCGACGATGAGTAGGGTGGCTCCATTGCCTTTGGACTGTGGTGAGGAAGAGCAGCTCATAGCAGCCAGACAGCAGAGCGAGACAGAGAAAGCTGAGACTGAGGACAAGATAGACCCTTAGAGTCACATCCCCGGGGTCCCTGTCATCTGCTGATGACGGCAGAGCCCCCAGTGCAGTCCGTTCCTAAAATCCCAGCCGCTGTCAGCAAGCCTTCGATACGTGAGCCTTCGGGGACAGTTCAGACTCAAACCCTGAAGCACAGCACCAGCTGGGCCTCTTTTCTGGTGTTTGGTATCACTGGTTTTAACTTGGCTGTTCTGGGGATGCAAGGCTGCACGTCATTGTGGCTTTCGCTTTCCTAATGACTGACGTGGAGAGCTTCCAGACGTCGCTGGCTGTTTGCTCATTTTCTGCTCAGTGTGCTTCAGTTTTGTTGATTCTGTTATGAGTCACCTTGCTCTGAGTCCAGAATGCTCTGTGTGCATAGTGTGGCCACATGTCATTCATTAGATACATGCGTTAGAAAAAGATTTCCCAAATAATTTCTATGCTCTTTTGGCGTTCTGTGATTAGAATTTGATTTTAATGAGTTTCTAGTCAATTTCTGTGCCTTTAAAAACATTGTAAGGATTTTTCTTTTCTGCCTGCTCTGAAGGTTGCAGAGATGCCCTCCTGACGGATAGCTGAACAGAAGTCCTCATTGCTCACCTCCTCCACACGGAAAAGCTAACGATGCATAATTGTGTTCCGAGGTGAGTGACCATTGGAGCGCCTGGGAATTAGAGAGACTGGACTCCCGTGAGAACCTGAGGCCAGGACCACAGCACAGTAAGGAAAACAAAGTGTCTTGGTGCCTGCCACTGGACACCCAGAGCTCGAGGAGACCAGCTTCCCTGCGAGGGCGGCAGAGAGCTGCATCACACAGTCAGTGTGCTCACAGTTTTCACTCCTGGAAGTTTGCGTAACCGTCACGCTTCCTGGTGTCAGGAACCTTGAATATGCAAGTTAAAGGAGCTCACATAGTCCACTGACTGCCACCCGTGCCCCAGGGTACCATTACGAAAGCCAGCTTGAAAGGATATCTGGACCTAAAGTCCTCACCTGTGTGTTCCCATCTTTGGGACTCCGCAGACGTTCACTGTGCCCTATATTGTAGGGGCCGGGCATTGAGACAGAACGGTGTCACCCTCTAGAATCAGGAGGCCAGGGTGCCTTCCCTTTGGGAGGGGCTGGCTGTCAGGAGCATGACTAGCCATAAGCACGGAGGCTCATGAAGGCCCACGAACTCCTGCCGCCTGCTCCCAGTGCAGTCCACCCGCGTCTCATCGTCAGCAGGAGTAGCTCAGTGCTCGTACTGGTCTGCCTATGCGGCTGTGCCAACGGGGCCCTGGACAACCCCGTGGGGTCCAGCATTGACCAGTCCCCAGACGACATGACCAAAGAGAACGTACTCAGCTCGGCTGTGTAGTCCACCTGGGTGCAGTATAGAAGCCTCACCTAGGAAGTGCCTGCTGCCTTACCCACGCACCCTGTCTGACCATGTGCTGTTGTCAAGTCTGAATCACTGATTGGTCACAGGGGCGAGTTCTGTCCCGTGCGCACTGTGGGACCCAGCCATGCTGAAAGCCTGTGCTATAGCAAAGCCAGTGTCAGCAGATCCTGAGGACCTTTAATTGTCCCACTTTAGGAGAACCTCAACCCCACCACTGTGCTGTGCCTTCTCTACTTTGGTGTGCTCCACAGAGGAGTCGGTGGGTTTCACCTCCAGGGCAGCACACATGGCACACGCTACACGAAATCATTAGTCACAGCCAAAGAAGTTAGAAGGAGACTGTTCTGTGGTGGCCATCTACAGAGCCAACGTTGTGCCATATTTCCAGATACATCTTCAGGAGAAATCTGCCTACTAAGAGGGTCTGAACTCCAGCTACCCAGATCTCAGTGCAGGAGCGTGAGGATTGAACAGATGAGTGACCTGAGTCCTCTCAGAGAAAACCCCGACTGTGACAGGAAGTTCCAGATAACCTAAAGGGATGAAATGTTTGGTAAAGGATGAAAAGGAACGATTATTACTGGGGAGAGAAAGGGGCCTGTGGGGAGGGGCATAAAAGGCCCTGCAGGCATGAATATGAGCCAAGTAAAGGACAGATGTGTCATAGTGAAACCCATTCTTTTTTACACTAATTTACAAAGAAACAGTTGAAAGATAAAGGAATGATTGTATTTTTTAAAATGAGATCCAAAAGAATACAGACAGTGAGATGATACTGAAGAGATAATACATATTATGAATGTAAGATTCCATAGAGAAATAGATTGAAAAAGAAGCAAACAGCAATCTTGAGATGAAAAAAAAAACGTAATAAATTAAATAAAAAATGCAGTTGCTGCCTCAACAGACAGTCTAGATTAAGCAGAAGAAAGAATATCTAACTCACGACCTTATCCCGTCTCACCGCATGCTGTATCTATTCTCCAAGTCCAGCCAGGCTGGCACACACTACCTCCCTCAGCCTGGTCAGTGTTTTATTGCTGTTAAGAGACACCATGTCCATGGCAACTCTTATTTAAAAAAAAAAAAAAAGCATTTAATTGTGGGGTTCACTTACAGTTTTAGAACCATGGTCATCATGGTGGGGAGTGTGGCAGGCAGACTTGGTACAGGAGCAGTAGCTGAGAGCTTGCATCCTAACCCACAGGATGGAGGAAGAGAGAGAGGCTGGGCCTGGCTTGGCCTTTTGAAACTTTAAAGCCCACCCCCAGTGATACTTCCTCCACCAAGGAAGGCCACACCTCCTAATCCGTCTCAAGTAGTCCCACTCCCTGGTGACAAAGCCTTCAAGTCTGTGAGCCTATGGGGGCCATTCTCATTCAAACCACCGCATCCCTTATCAAAGAAACCTCTCTTTTCGGAAGACACAGACCATCACTGAAAACTACAGTTGGTCAAAGTGAAGAGAACAGCCTCACTGTGAGGTACTAAGCCCCAGCTGATACATCTCCAATACAATTCCTGCACCCAAGGCTCAGGAACATAAGGGAAGAGGGTAGAATGATTATAAAAAGCTGAGGGTCAGGGGTCTGCTGTGAGGTGGTGGCTCCTAAAAGTAACAAGGAAGCTATACCCATGATACCTCAGTATGGGCCTAAATGAGATCTGAACAATGACAACATTAACAGACACTCTAACAACTACTGAAGATCTCATGATACCCTACCCCAAGACTGAGAGCCCAGGGATGAGGCCCCTAACTAGTTACCCAGTACCAAGGGGTCAGCCCTGAAATCCTATATATAGTCCAACACTAAATGGACTCAGCAGGTTGTGTCTACATATTGATGCAAATGTGTAACAGTAATTAAAGAGAGCATGAATTTGAGAGGGAGTCATGGGGATATTGAGGAATTGAAGGGAGGAAAGGGAAGAGATAAATGATGTAATTATATTTTAGTTCTGTTTAATTTTAAAAAAGAATATTTGAACTTGAAGACAGGCCTTTTGAAAGCTCAGTTAGGGCAAGAATATGTATTCAGGACCTCTAGGATACCATTAAATGAACAAAGAGTATATTTTTTTTTGAATACTCAAAGGAAAAAGTTAAGGACACAAACTATTTTAATGAAATAATGTGAGAAGAATTCAAATCTTGGGTAAAATGCAGACATATATGCAAATGAGGTATATTGAGCCGCAGTGTGACCAGAAAAGATCTTCAACACAAAATGCATAAGTGCCGAAGTTCAAAGCAAAGAAAAGATTCTAAAATTTATTGTAAGATAGGAAAGCCCTAGTTACAATCCAGAGTGTTCCAGTTGGATTAATAGCAGATTCCTTTCCGGGCTGTGGGGGCCCTTTAGTCCCAGCACTTGGGACGCAGAGGCAGGCAGATCTCTGTGAGTTCGAGGCCAGCCTGGTCTACAGAGTGAGTTCTAGGACCTCCAGGACTGTTAAACAGAGAAACCCTGTCTCAAAAAATAAATAAATAAATAAATAAAAATAAAAAAAACCAACACATAGCAGATTCCTCAGCAGAAGCTTCAGGCCTTGAGGGGATAAAGTGATGTACTGAGGTCCTGAGAAAACAATCACTTGAGACCAAAGCTGCTGTGCCCAGCCTTTGGGAACGAAGAAGAAATAAGACCTTCTATGGTGGTTTGAAAGAGAATGGCCCCCAAAGGTAGTAGCACTGTTAGAAGGTGTGGCCTTGTTGGAGCAGATGCGGTCTTGTTGGAGGAAGTGTGTCACTGTGGAGGTGGGCTACAAGTTCTTACATACGCTCATGATACTGCCCAGGGTAACACACACACCACTTCCTGCTGCCTACAAGATGTAGAACTCTCATCTACTTCCCAGCACCATGTCTGCCTGCATGGCCATGCCCTCGCCATGATGATAATGGAATGAACCTCTGAACTGTAAGCCAGCCCCAATTAAATGTTTTCCTTCTAAGAGTTACTGTGGTCATGGTGTCTCTTCACAGCAATAGAAACCCTAACCTTCCCAGATGAAAAACAACAAAAGAGGAAATTCATGACCAGAGATCAGCTTTTTTGATCCCCTGCTCCCAAAGATGGACTACCATCCCACAACATAAAATGCATTTACTCTAGCTTGCAGTTCTGTAGTCTTAACACTTCCAACACTATTCAAAACTCCATGTCCAAAATCTCTTCTGAGACTCAAGGCTAAATCTTAATTTTGAAGCCCTTTTATAAAAATCAAAACAGCAAGTCACATGCTTCCATTAAAATTAAATAGTGTACAGAGTGAACAGTCCCATTCCAACCAAGGATTTTGCAAGGTTTCCCAAAGCCAACACCCAGCAGAGAGAACACTAAATCCTACAGTTCCACTACTAGTGTGTGGGACACATGGTGGCGTGATGTGATCCCTACAGGCTTGGGCAGGCCTATCCTTACAGCCCTGTTGTCTGTAGCTTGCCTTAGCAGACAGGATACATTCCTGGTATTTCCAAGATCCTGGGGTCTTCTCTGCTTCACCTTCATAATTTCACACATAGCAAAGAATCTGCTTCTGTTACATTGCCTAACCACACAGGATTTTCTCTGGCACCTTGATGCAAGCCTCTCTAACTAGGGCTTGCTAACTATCTAGCATAAATAGCAAATTCTATTCAGTGAGAGATCGTCTCTTAAGAAGAATGGTTGGGAGCTGGAGAGATGGCTCAGCAGTTAAAAGTACTACCTGCTCTTCCAGAGGTCCTGAGTTCAATTCCTAGCAACCACATGATGGCTCACAACCATCTGTAATGAGATCTGGTGCCTTCTTGTAGCCTGCAGGCATACATTACAGACAGAACACTGTATACATAATAAATAAATAAAATCTTTTAAAAAAAAAAAAGTATGGTGGATGGTGCAGAAGATAGCTCAGTGGGGAATGGTGCTTGACAGTTTTCCAGGGTCTCCAGGGTGGAGGAGAAACAATATGTCTTCTGATCACCACACACCCTGTGGTGCACATACATCTGCACACACAGTATTTAAATACAGAGTTTAAAGGCACATATATGCCATACACAGATCTTTTTACATCAGTAAACTCAAAAGCACCATATCTATTTGGGTAGAATGATTTGGCTCGAGGGTTCTGCTTATCCCTCCCAAATTCTGCCAACTCACCAGAGTCAGCTTCAGATCTGTGGACTTCCTGGATCGTGAGGGAGCAGTAATAAAAATGGGCGCATGGTTCACCATGGTGTACATGCGGTGTTACAACAGCTTGCAGGAGGAATTGGTTCTCTCCTTCCATGTGGGTCCTTAGGATCAAACTCAGGCCATCATGCTTACTGGTGAGCTCCAGATTTGACGAGAGACCCTGTCTCAAAGAATAAAGTGGAAGAAGGGTTAAGGAAGACACTGACTTCAACGCACCCCCTCAGGCAAGCACACCACCCCAGGGACTTCGAGGCATATACACATAACGTGCAGAAGGCGTTGAAAACCCCGTGAGAAAGCTGCCAGACAGAGGACAGGACAAAGTTTAAGTTTAGCCATTTTGTCAAAATGGCCCAGCAGCTCAAGCTTGGAAGGTTGGTTGGCAGTCCTTGTCACCAATCAGCAGAGGAACCCTCTCTGGGGGTGGGGAATGACACGTGGGCAGCCTCCAGGCTCTGAGTAGGAGAGGCTTATGATATGGGGATTCAAAGCCAGAAACTTAACTGCACTTAGAGCTGTGGGTGGCTCCTGGCTTCAGGTGCCGGGGACAGGGACGTGGCTCTAGACTTTCAGAACCAGAGGCTTTCTGCCCTGATTCCTGAGTACCAGTGACTTGTAGGCTGAGCTTTCAGGATCAGACAGAGGCGTACCTATAAGCCTATAAGATACGGCTCTAGGTTCTCAAAGTCCTCTGCCAGTATTTACCTTGCTCGTTATGAGGACACTCAGGCGCCAGTAAGATGGAGGCAAGGTGGTGGCCGACCCTGCTGTCATACATGTCGGCCTGGTTCTGCAGACATGCAAGATGCCAAAGTCGCAGGCTCTTGAAGGCTTCCACCAATTTCAGAGGCAATCCTGGGAGGCCAGGAAGTGTGTAGAAAGGTCCAAGTTCAACTAGGAAGACGCCGAGAGGGCAGTGTGTGAAAGTGTGGGAGTAAAGTCACGTGCCAGGAAGGAGGGACATCGAGGCAACTGCAGGCACAGCAGAACCAGAAGAGAGGAGCTGTTTAGTTTGCATCTGGCAAGGCTGTGGGGCCTTTGGGCTCCATTCCCCAGCCCAGGGTCTGTTCATGACAGTCTCCTTATACATCTGCTCTCTGTGCCACACTCTACACACGGGTCATTTACTAGTCACTCACCAATTTGTCTAGAGTTTCATCCTAGAAGATTTATTCCTTTTAAAAGTACTTTTAAAAGTTTTCAAAGCCATACAGGTGACAGGTTTTTTTTGTTCGTATTTTTGGGTTTTGGGGCTTGGGTGGTTGCTGGGGATTGAGCCCAGGTACTTTCCTGAGCTCCATCTCCACACTCTGACATCTGTGTGGGTACACTGAATAACCTCACTGATGGCCAAGCCTGCCCCATC